TTTCCTATGAATTTTCGGAAGCAGGGGGCGGGTGTTACGCCCCACTCGCCCCCCCCTATTTACGCCGCTGCCAGTCGGACCGGACCGGTAAAAGTTTTTAACCGGCCGGACAGGACCGGTTTATGGATATATTACCAAACTGAATCTAGCATGAAAGACAACGAAAAGTTTAGGGATCAGTGACATCTATCCAAATTAGGCACGAGCATATAATACTTTGCTAATGAAATTTTCTTTTTTGCTATTAAGCTATGACCATTATTCGAAGAAATTCGTATGAAGTGAAACTAATTTTTTCCTGCAATTGCTAATAATTAAATATGTTGCTACACGACAGGTAGTATGCCGCATTAAAAATGGCAACGATACAAACAAAAATTGATCTTGTGTCTCTACCGACATTGTCAAGTAACTACGTAAAATGAAGAAAGATTCTACAGGACCGCGGCCACGTTTTTTCACACCTAATGAAGTTTCATCACATAATACAGCATCAGACATTTGGGTTTCATTTCTTGGTCATGTCTATGATCTAACAAAACTTGTCGAAGAACATAGTGGTTCGTCATAGGGTATCTAATCTATATGATAAAGATATTTCATCGGTAATTCATTTTTAGGTGATGTTCTTCTCAAACCTATCATTGATGTAGCTGGTTTGGATATTTCACATTGGTTCGATTCTCGTACGCATGACGTAAGGCATTCATTTTCTTTTTGATAAAAGAAAAATTCATCTTTTTTATCTCCAGTTTTCTTTAGTATCACTTGAAAAATTTATACTAAAAAAAATATTCTATGCTTTTCGTTCTTATTTTTGCAAAATTTTTATTTCTGAAAATAATCTTTCAAGTCTGAATTTTGAAAACTATGTTTGTTTTTGCTACGCATAGGTTCGGCATTATATCGATCCAGTTACTCATTGTCTACTTCCGTACACTCCACATGGTCGTTTTATCCATATAGCACCGCCTTATCCGTCTAGTGATTTTGCCAATGATTTTGGTATTCCTTGGTGGAAAGATGAGAAATATAGAATCGGTGTCCTATCCAAAAAAGTTCGGTTTATTCGTATTCTTAATGTTCTTACATTACAAGATCAAGTGATTGAAGTAAACTTTTTTTTATTCATTTTATAGTTGATATATTCTATCAGTATTCATTGAAACTAGGTCTGTTCAGAAGAAAATATGCATGAAATACTTGACCGTTATTTAAAATACAATCAACATGCAGCAAGTTATACATGGAAATATAATGGAGAAGTTTTAGATATGGAAAAAACATTGGAAGAAAATGAAATTAAAGATGATGATACTGATTTTGATAGACTGAAAATGCGTGATGATAGTTATTTACAATCGGTTATGTTGTATTATAATGACGATTTGACAGAAGCTTGAAAAAGAGAAAATATAATAAACTATTCTTTTTTTTTAATCATACATTTAATTTATATTGAAGAAGAATATCATTTTCTAGTTAAGATCGTTATTGGACACTGATATTCGCTTAAATTTTTTTAAATAAAATCTATGAAATATGAGAATAATATTTCAAATGAAATAATAGGAATGAACAATTATTTCTTAAGAAACCTTTCTATGTATTTAAGTGAATAATGACAGAATGAATTAAATCTTTAAAATTTTTCTTTGTGCGAATAATATTTGATAGATTTAATACTACGATAAATCAGTAAAACGATTCGTTGTCAATTACAATCAAGAATGAATACTAGTTCGATGAATTCTTCATATAAACGATGTGATAGTTTAATATAAAAATTTTCTTTCCTCTAACAAAATGTTATTGCTCAAGAACGTGCGTCATATGTGAAACTTTATGAGGCAACATTGCAATTTAGGCAGTACAATCATGTACATATATATTACTGTAAAAACAAGTGTACAAAAACATATAGATTTCATATTCATACATAATGTCAGACATATTTCCGATATCAACACCTTCTACGAGTGAGTGGTTATGTTCCAATGATGTTCTCACATGGAAATTTCCAATATCTATTGGTTCATATACATTAATTGGACGTTCTAGAGCAGCTGATGCTACGAGTTTATTCATTCCTGAATTGGATATGTTACTTGATTGTGGTTGTTTAGTGACAGGAAGTCTACCTCTTTACATATTTATTACACATGCGCATGCCGATCATTGTCTTGATATTACTCGACTGTTGAATAAATCTCGACCGCCACAAGTTTATCTTCCTGTATCGGCAGTTCAACCTATGAAAGATTTTATTGAGAAATGCCAAATTCTTCGAGCAGCTGGTAGAAACAACTCAGATCCTAACCAAATGATATCTAATTGTGAATTAATATGCGTGCAACATGAGGATTTATTGTCATTTCGAAAAAGAATGAAAGTTCGTGTATTTGAAATGGATCATTCAGTGCCTTGTTGTGGTTATGGATTCTATGAAAATCGAAATAAATTAAAAAAAGAATATGAACATTTAAGGAGTAACGAAATTGCAAATATGCGAAGAGCTAATAAAGATTTAGAAGTTTGTGAAGAAAGATTAGTTCCGTTATTTGCTTTTATGGGCGATACAACAGCAATTATCTTTGAAAGATATCACAGGGAACTTTTTCAATTTCCATTGATTATTGTTGAGTGTTCATTTATCGATAATGAACGCCATGCAGAACGAGCTTGTGATGTAAAACATGTCATTTGGGTAAGAATAAAAAGAATGAAATTAAAAACAAATTTTTGTTTCAAAATTTTAGGATGATCTTCAGCCATTTGTCTTACAACATCCAGAAATAATCTTTGTATTGATTCATTTTTCACATCAATACAGAAGTAAAGAAATCCGAGATTTTTTTCGAAATTTAAATTTACCTAATGTTGTACCATTTATTTGAAAAAAAGACTAGAAAAGAAGCACAATTACATCTACGCTAACAGCACATCCTTCTTTTACTTATCCGTGTCATATATTTCTTCTACTAGTAAAACTCTAACAGAGAATCGTACAATCTCATTTGAGTGCATCTAGACTAAGAAGTATATTGTTTTTAGGTTTATTTGTGAAAAATTGATTACTTTTCTTTCGTCTTTTAAGTTTTAATATTTGCGCTTATTGTTAATATACGATGACGCATTATTTAGACTTACATTCAAGCCTATAAAATATATTTTTATTTTTCAATGATTGTTAATCATCGGGAATATTTTCTTATTTATAATTTATCATTCATAAAAATACTTGCATCTACTGTAGAATCTTGTAATGAAGATGGTTTCATTGTGATAGTGTGTGTGTGTGTGTGTGTGAATTGATTGATTTTCGTGTTGTTCGAACTTTTTCAAGAAAATATAGCAAGGAGTAATCAAAACAAAAATCCTATGGTTTTTATCGTCAAAATATTATACCATGGTATTATTTTTTGACATTCGCAAATATCGCTTTATATCATCAGAGCGCAATAAACACATACCGATCGATAATTTTACTCGTCAAATAATTAAGAAGAAAAATGAAAAGAAAAACAATGGATTAGAACGATTATCGCATCTCTTCAGACATATTAATTAGTTAATTGATTTGTGAGCATTACAATCGATGTTCTTCGTACGAAGTCAAAATCTCTTTGCTACAAATAAAGATGATGCACGAGTAATTCTATTTTATATTTACCAAATAGTATATTAAAATAGTTATATAGATTGCCAATAGTTTATTTCATGATAAGACTATAATTACAAAGATGCAGAGACTAAGGTTGGGCAAGTCTAATTTATGACTGGCTTGATAATGTTTACTCTATTTGTTGAACCAATTTCTTCCAAGCCATTTATTTAAAAAATAAACGATTCATTTTATAAGATTAAATTTGCATCTACGGATAAATTTTATCCTAATTGAATGCACTGCATCTCTATTAACTTGTCTTTTGTTTCTGGTGACCTAGGAGTTCTTTGGAGTTATGAACAACAGCCTATGCATAGCATCGAGTACCTGTTCCTCTACATTTTTAATTTCAACGCCTACACTAGGATGTAGAGCTTATATAATGAAAAACTTCCTATTGAATGTTTTTATGAAAAGAATCAGAAAACTAAGAAGTGGCAAAAACACTTTGATTTCAATCCACTTGAGCCATGTTTTGATACACCCAAGACTGGCTAACGCTAAGTTTTAGTTAAGATATGTAGATTTATACCTAGATTTGATTACGAGTTACGAGACGACAGTTAACCATACTCAAACGTTACTTGAAAGCTTTCTATCAATATGAAATTGGATAAGGTATGGAATTGAACGATAATACTATTATCTTTAGTGTTTCATTCATATTCAACTTATTCTTTCCAAAATAAGAAATATTTGACTGAAAAACAATATATTTAGTCAATCGTTCTCTATAAAAACAATCCTTAACTTTGTAATTTTCGACGCATAAATCGCTATGCTCTATACAAACGATGCTATTTTTTCATTTCACACCCAGATAAAAATTAGTAGGATAAATACACATCTATGGATGCAAGTATACATGATGAAGTAACGTTTAAAAGACAAAATTGAAGCAAATAAGACTAAGACTATCTATATGTCTAGTTTTAATAAAGTATTTTGAAAACTAAAAAACAACGAATATGCACAGTCTTGAGTGATCAAAAGCATTTGTATTTTTAGCTTTTTCATCGGTTTGATCATCTAGTGTAAAACAATTTGTATAAATTTATTTTTGTTGAAAACACTTGTTTTTGAATCAAACAAATGGACTATTATATATTTCGGGCTTTTTTGCTGGATCAAGGCCATGCAAATGCATGGTAACAGCTATCTCAAACAGATAGTCATAACATTCACACATTGTTTTTGCTTTTTGCCACGTATCCCCCCAAACATAAATGCCATGTCGTCGAACCAGTACAGCACATGTATCCGGATATTTTTCAATTGCTTGGCGTAGCGAACTAGTTAAATCTCTTTCTTCACATGTATTTTCAATGATCGGTACAATTAAAGTATCATCATATCGATAGTACTCTTTTTCTGTAGAACCTTTTTTTATGCCCTTTATCATTTCTTGATGTGTTATACGAAATTCATGTTGACCATTACATAATAATGTAACCATAACAGCTGCACGAGAATGTGTATGAATACAAGCACCAGCATTTCGAAGTTCAAATGAAGCATAGAATAATGGTGTACATTGACTACGTGTAAGTCGAAGGTCTTTCGGTGGCTCTTTAATAGTATCACCAGAAAGTGTTTGAACAAATAAATGTTCTGGTTCAATACGTTCCTTTTGTACACCACTAGGAGCTAGATAAATTAAATCTTTGTATTTTAACGATATACCTCCACCGGTGCCTTGAAAAATATAAAATAGAATTGTTTTTAAAAGAAATACTCGTTTGTTTTTATTTATCAACCTGTGACCCATCCAAGTTGATAGAATAATCGACATAATTCTGGTATTAATTTTCTTGGATGATCAACAGGCAAGCTTGACCAATCTTCATCGTCTTCATATTTCATTAATTCAGTATGATTAGTCATTATCTGAAATTCAAATAATTTTCTTAATAATAATATATTCATCATTTTCATTTGTTTATATCAAAGATCTATTATGAATCAATATGTGATAGAGTATCCATGACTTTTCAACTTGATTACATTCTAAATTATGTTTGAATACAAATAATTATTAGTTAAATTTTTCACCTAAATAACTTCCAAAAGAAAAATCATAATAGCATTTTAACACAAATCTAGACAATGCCTACCTATGTAAAAGAAATATATCAACTCAAAAACATTTTTTCATTGAAAAAACAATCATTATTAAAAATAGTTTGCATGGTAGAGTAAATCATATTTTTTTAATATTGCTACTGTGTTATTATAGGAATTAGAATAAAGTAACATTGATTGATAGATCATTTAAGAAAACTGTTGTTCTCATTATTGATGATAGTTTCTTTGAAAAATTTGGAAATCATTTGTAATAATTTATCTTGTCAAAAATGTTATCGAACTCATTCGATCAGTCTTGATAAGATACCCTATTTTATTGGAACATATATATATATATATATATCAATCTGAAATGATCGATTTTGATTTGATCAGTTAATTCAAGACAGATTCTGATCTAAAACATTCGTGTCACTTGTGACTGTAGAAGTTAAAATGAAATACTCATTTATAAGTATTTGCTTATTTGGAAAGTGCTTAATTAGATGAAGTTTTTTAATATGTTGAAGGATAGATACATTCATGAATTTGAATAGTTTTTGAATAAACAATGAAATGATCCTATATAAATTGTTTTTGTATTCACATATCAAGTGCTTGATTCAAGTGTTGTCTTACAAAGAAGTCGTTTAAGCTTTGAAAAGAAGAATATCGAGTTTTGGCAAGTATCAGCAATTAGTATCTGATATAATGAATACAAGTTCTCTGCTAGCTCAACTAATGTTGGTGAAAAAGAGGATCGCCTGTTCGAGCTTAACTTTCACTATTGAAAGTTTACACTTGTAAAATATATTTCACTCAAATAATTAATCAAGCTTAGCTCTTCTTTCAATAAAATATCATCTAACATTTTCAGTTAAATAAGATATACGTATATTCATCACCACTACTACTACTACTACTACTAATAATAATAATAATATAATTATCCATCCATCACAATTCACATGATATCTTGACACATAATAAAGAACCAAATGTGAAATAATCTCATGCTGAAACACTACTTAAAGATTTTAGTAACGACTTATAGTATGTAAAAATACTCTCTTGATAAATATTATTCATTGAAGTTTCACCTTATTTCGATCGATATCCTTTTGTACATAATATAAATAAATTTTAAATGATTTTCTAATAAATTCACTATTCATGCATATTGAATTAATGCTGCAATTGTTATTGACAGATTTTTTAATTTGATGATCATCTTATTTATTAGACTAGTAACTTACACGTTGGATACATTAAAATTGAGATAATGAAATGATTTCATTTGAGCATAATGGATTCTTTTCCATTCACTCTTGTATAGAAATTCATAACAAAAAAGATTGATTTCGCATGTAAATAATATTTGAATTGCTCTACTCACACTAAAAAGATCATAGAAAACGATTTGATTGATTGAAAATGAAGAAAACCATGTTCTTTCAGTTGATATCAGTCGATTATGTATTCAGCGAGAGAGATAGATAGACAGACAGAGTGAGCATCAATATAATTGGTTCAACATAACCATTCACATAATTTTTCAACCTCCTCAAATCGCTTTACATTTTATGAACATAACATCTACAGTGTGATAATTGAAATGAATGACATTGAATCTTTCTTTCCAATCAAAAATTATTAAAAAAAGTTGATATTTTCAACAAAAAACATTTCGATTGGTTCATCAGAAGTCGCATCGATACCGTGAAACAAAGAGAACAACTGAAAATGAAAGATATTCTGTTGATTCGACTTAACTATATAAATTGGCGTGTTTAATTGTGTAGATTTAATGCAAAAGATTCATTTTCCATTTAGAAATCTTATTTTCATTAGGTACCTTCAATGGGTCGGCATCGCTCAGATTCACGTTCTCGATCAGTATCTTCAAGTTCGTCGTAAGTTCTATTGAATTTTTAAAAAGAAGCAACAGTTTATTTGGTATGTATATGTTTTACTCATTACTGAAGTGGCCGTGGTACACAATCATCAAAATGGAATGGTGAAACAGGCTATCGTGTTCATATATCGGATTTAGCAGCTGGTGTTTCACGTAAAGAAGTTGAAAGAGTATTTGGAAAATATGGAACTGTTAATGAAGTCTGTTTATTTTATTTTCATTATTGATTAATAATTATGTTCTTTTCTAGGTATGGGTAGCAACAAATCCACCTTGTTTTGCTTTTGTTAATTTTAAACATCGTTCGGATGCAGATAAAGCTATTCGAGAAGTTGATGGAAAGTAAGATCAAAGTAGTTATTTAATTATTTATAACTAATTATTATATTAGAATAATCGGTTCTACTCGTGTTGGTGTAAGTTGGGCACGAACTCGTACTTATGGTGGCCGAAATCGTGGAGGCCGTGGTTACTCATATCGGCATAGTGGTAGTCGTCGTCGATCAAGGTAAAATTCATATTTATCTAAGATTTATTTTTAATCGCTGCTCCCATGATGATATTTCTTTTTGTCTCTTCATGTCGGTGCTGAAAGGCATAGTCGAAAGTGAATTTTATTTCGTTAGATTAAATAATAATGTCCGCTTAATTTTGATTCTAGTAGCTTCACGGGTTTTCGAATGGTCTTTAATGATGATTTGTTGGTTTTTTCATTCTAACAATTTGTATGTAGTCGAGCCTGATAAGACGATTGGCCATTTGTTTTTTTTCTTTTTGGTTAAAAAATTACTGAATAAAATAGTGTTGATATTTGTTTGGATCTTCTCGGCTTCTGGGCAATTGTGCTCGGCCAAAACAGATATCGATGGAAAGTTGCGACTCATTCATTACGTGTGAACTAATATTTTGTATTTTATCCAATTTAATAGAAGTCGTTCAAGAAGTGGTTCACGTCATAGACGACATCGATCGAGATCACGGTCAAGTTCACGAGGTATATTTAATGTTTTTTTTTTAATATTTGTTCCTTTAATATGTATAATTTTTGCTTTAGAACGTTCTCGTCGTCACAGTGGCTCACCACGAGATCGTAAACGTGTAATTCGTTCAAATGATCGACAAGAATCAAGATCGTCTCGATCAATATCACGTTCTCGATCACGATCACGTTCACGTTCATCAGCAAGACAAAAACCACCGAGAAATGCTAATGGGTAAGAGAAAAGTTAAACAAATTATTCTTGAAATGTACACGAAAGAAAGTATCAAATATAGAAGAATGAGTATTTTTTCAATCATATCTTTACTGAAATATTCATGTTTAAAGTAGTGAATAATTTATAGAACGAAGCAATCTTTTCCTGTTACTCGTTGTGTCAACAGCGTTCATTATTTCAACATAAAATGAATTGAATAGTATTTTAGATGAATTCATAGAACTATGACATTCGCAAATCATTCCTATTTGATTATAAAATTGGAACATAATTTCTCATTTTTGTTTAGACGAAGTCGATCTCGTAGTTCAAGTGTTGATGATTGTCATGATAAAAGATTAGCTGGATCATCAGCAACAGCTGCTAAGATTGATGGAAATAATAGTTATGAGTAAGTAAAAAAAATGAGCTACTATTTTTCAAGATCATTGATTAGATTGGTGCTTGTCTGTCTACTATTTTTTTTATTTTGATATTTTTCTATTTAGTCGATCCCCGATTGTTGCCGGTGGTGATTAGATCCTGATCATCAATCAAAAGACGTTTGATATCTATTTGTGTTGAATAGTCATCCCTAAAAGTTTGTTGTCTCTATGTATGTTTGTGTTGAACTTCTATTGGTGTATTCTTTTTGAACTAAAAATAAAGCTCATCGTATGATGTTAAGTATATTTAAATTGGTAGAGGCTTCAATAGTTTGTGGAAATTTTTTGAGATACTATCAAGTAGTTATAGATGAGAAGTCTAATTATCTGTAAAAAAAAACATGATCGAAATCTCGGTAAGAGATTTTCATGAAATGTTACTATTCTGTACAGATTTTGTGTGACCTTTTCAATATATTTTTATTTCAATATTTATCTTGAAACAGCATATAAATATACATAAGAAACGTCCTAATATGTATCTTAATTATTTTTGTCACCCAGTACATGAATGAATTCTTTTGTCAAATGAATGGAAGATTACTTATATTTTATCCTAAGTATCAAAGCTAGTACAATTTTTCTAGGAAACATCATCTAGTACTACTCAGCTTACCAAAAAGATGGAATAAAATAAAAAGAATTTTGCTTTCTAGCCATAAGAAATATTTTTCTACATGAAAGATGATTGAGTGCTAACTAATAATTTGATCAATAGACATTTCTTTAGTGATAAGGTTTGAATATTTGTAAAATTTTCTTTATTCGTAGTCTTAGTTGAACAAAATATCTTCAGTAAAGATAATGCGCAATAAAGAAAACCGACATTTGTCTAATTGGAAGTAGAGCATAATTCCAATCAGATACATTCTCAATAGCATTCAAATCTAAATCCTTTAAATATGAGTGTGATAGAATATTAGATATTCTTTATTCTTTTTGAGTAATCGAAAGATTTCATTGATACTTCTCTATATCTAAATAAATTAGTGGCACGAAATTCATCAACAATTTATTTAAAAAAAGAAGTAGTAATATGTCTCTGAATTCTATGCTATTTATGCTTGATTACTTATAAACCATATTACAATTCAATGGTTATGATACATTCTGTTTTTTGTGTAAATCGTTGGTTCGTGCTTGAGATAGATTGCTTTTTAGTTGGTGAGAAGATTCGTCAGCTTTTCGTAATGATAAATCACTTGTTCTTGGTATTTGTTGTTGTGTTTCTATTAGTTTTTCCCACATATTTTTATATTTTGTATGTATTTCTTCAGTACTATGTTTTCGATCAGATTCAATACGTGATAAATTATTTTGTGTTTTCATTGTTTTGCCTTCATAGCTCACAGTTGACATAAAAGGTTTTATTTTGTTATCATGAACTCTGAAATGTTTTATTGGTTCAATTATTTGTTTAGAAAGTGGACTTGTAGAAATATATTTTTTTCTCCTGTGAGTTCGATCTTTATTATGAGACGCTTTTGAGTTCATTTTTTGAGTATCTTTACCTTGTTTTAATAATCTAAAACAATCACTATCTGGTTCAGTGAAATCGATAGCTTGAAAACCTTTATAATCAATTTTGTCTATATTGGCATGAACATTTATGAGCACACGACACGTATTAATCATATTTAATTTTACAGCTAGCATTAATGGTGTACGTCGAGCAGTATTTTCGGCATTAACATCGCAACCTTTATCAATTAATTTTTCTAACAAAGAAATCCGTTCATCATTGTCTTTATTATGGCAAAAGCAATGTAATAAGGTATTCTTTTCATTATTTACGACAGAACGACACGGTGCACCAGCATTTTCCAATAGATCAAACATTTCTTCATCACCATTTGTTATAGACAAATGCACACTAAATAAAATAGAAGTTTTCTGTTCAACATGAATGAAAGAAAATAAATGCGTACGGTCGATTTTCAAATAATTTTTCTACATAGTTTACATTTGCTTGTCTCTCAATAAATAAGGTTGCTATTGGTAGATTGCTTGTTCTTACAGCTATCATTAAAGGTGTTTCTGTAATGACATAACTATGGCCATCTTCATCTGCATACTTATAAATTGAAGGTTGATCGACGTAAGCTCCATGGTCTAATAAAATATTAGCCATTTCAAGCGCAATTCGTGCTTCATGTAATCGATCATTTTCATAGACTGTTGCAGCTAATAAACCGAGTGGTGTTTGAAAAGTAAGAGAATTTGGTTGATCAGGAGATGCACCTTGCTCAAGTAATAAACGAACAGTTGATGACGATGTATACTTCATTGCCAATAATAGTGGTGTATTTCCTTGCACATCCAATTCTTTATGAATATAATCTCCATTCACATTCAAAATACGACAAATACGATTTGTATTGTTAGCTAATATAGCAGCACGAAATGCAGATAAAGATGTTTTAAATAAATATGATAACAATATTTTCAACATGAAAGCAATACTATCGTAAAAATAAATGTGAGTAATTATTCAGAATGTTTGATAAACAAATGCATACGACGGCGCTTGGACAGATAAATTGACTATTTCTTTTTGTCTTTATACATACGCAAATAAGTAACAATAGAATAACGATAGCTCGATAAAATGATCACAGGTAACAAAAATTAAAGAATCGTATAGTAACTTTACAGGAGATAAACGTATATTCGTTTAATGTAAATTAATGCTATGAAATATTTTCTTTAATTAAAGGCGACAAAATAATTTCTTATTTAACAATATTCATAAGAACTGTCACAACCTACCGTGAATAATTTCGTTTTCGTGCTAATTGTAGGTTGGCCTTGTTTGAATTATAATTAATGATTTGAGCTCGGTATTTCGTAATTGATAAGAAAACAAATATGGACAAACCTGTAGATAATGACTTGTGAAAAAGATAGGAAGAACATCGTGTATGTATTGAATCGATTGGCGCAGTTCGATGATTGGAAAAAATGATTGAATCTAGTCATTTATTTGTCCTATGGGTTTCTTGCTCGACAGTATGATCTATGAAGCATAGCATTCAAAAACAAAAAAGATAATGTACATCGGATTGTATAAAATCATATCTTTTAACATAATAATATGAACATATTGTAAAAATAAAAGTTCCGCTTTTCATAGGTACTCTTTCATGAAAACTCTTCGAGAGATCTGTATATATATGATTTATTCGTTTCTACAAGGCAATGTATTACGATACGAGCATTGACCTCATTATTTGCACGCATTCAGTGAATGATTTCTAACTATTATTGTGTCAAAATAGACTATTATTTTGTAGTCATCAATCAAGAACAACAACATATCTCGGCCGTCAATGAGAAAACTGAAGAATGTTACCAGTTTTATCTTAAAAAAACATGAATATATTGAATCAAAGTGTGATAGTTTAGTAATAATTTCAAAACATGAATTGCCTCATAACTTTGTTTTTTTTACATTTCTGTGTACGATGTATTATTTTCATTCGATGAAATAAATTTGTGTGCCTTAAACGATACAAAATTAGATACTGAATATTTTTTTATGTAGATGAAAATCAATTGATCAGTTTGACAGAATCATATTTTTATTGTTGCCCTAGTCAACTCTTCCCTAAAAAGTTCCCCGGGAGTCCCCTGTAAAACTCTCTGGTGATTCATGACAGGAAGTTCCCAGAAACGATCAGACCTTTCACGAAGAGTTTAGCGATTTCTCAGGAGTTTCTAAGTCATTTACCTTTTGTTACCTGCTTGTGAACCGACACCAATTTTTTTTCAATCTCTCTCTTTCTACGAAGATCTTCTACCTAATACATTTAGTAGACGTTGACTCAGTGGACAACTCCTGCGATTGTTAAATCGCCTCAAAATGATGAGCTATCACTGAGACGACATTGGTAGAAGTCCAAACGATATTTAACACTTGAACAAAACTGGATGTTAAAATTATTTCTTCTACATTTTGAGTTTCTTATATACCTTCAAAAGCGCAAAAGAAAACGGCGAATACATTCCTACACGCCCTGATAAATGCTTCAGATACTTCCTAGTGACTTCCCAGTGAGCTTTTTATTTTTACTGCTCTGTAAAATTCTGGGACTCCCCGGTGATTCTGCGAGGGAGAGTCAATTAGGGTGTCAATTAATCAAAAGAACAATTATATTCGTATCATTAATAGATAGATTACTTGCATCAATTTAATTTAGATTGAAGCCTATCTGAGTTAATAGATCTCATTTACATTTATCAGACTAGTTCCAGAGAATTCCGAAATCCATCAAACAAACAAAAAATCAGTTATTATTCAAATAGATAAGTGAAAATAGTTCATATGCACACAGAACTCTATAGGAAACTTCATTTATTTTGTATGAAGAAACAATTCACATTTTAATACCACAATAATAACATTTATTTTTCATTAACGAAATTATTTAATCCATATTGGTAGGATTACAGACAACTTTATTGAAACTATTTGTTTATGTATTAAAGCATTAGAAAAAAATGATCAGAATCTGACATGTTCAATAATGAACAAGAAAACCTTAAGACATCAGCACACAGAATTAATGCTATCTGATTTTCAATTGAAACTAATCATCATGGTTATAAGAAAGAAAATTGAAAATTCATTTTTTTCACAGATTAGACAATCCGACTTGGAAACAAAATCCAGTTCTTCATTCAACAGCATTAAGTAACAATATTTATAATGAACACATAAAGAAAAATCAACATATAATGAAAAATGAAAATTGAAATTCAGATAAATGTTTAAATCAAAAGAATGTTATTAATCAAAATTGAAAAATAGACACGTGATAATTGGCTAAAATATCGAGAATTTTTTTTGTTTATTAAAAATATTAGCCTTCTGAGGTTTTACTTTATAACATGTGTTTTATTCACAATTTCGTTGAAAGAAGTATTGCGTTCTTAAATCTGACCTTAATTGATAATTGTTCTACTTAACGAGGAAACTACTCAATAAAAAGTGCACTTCATTTCTTAAGCCTTCCAGGTTGACTTTGATTGATATTGACTATCTGTAAGATTTCTGTGAATTGCAAAGCAATCAAAATTTTTGAGAGACTCCATCTAAGAGTCAATTTTTTCATATTTATTGTTTCTTGTGCAACTAATCTTAGATTTAATTGAAATGCATCATTTTAAAAGAATACTTGCTTATATCAATGGTTGTCACAAAAAAAAACTTAATAACTGACATAACTGTTAACCATTTGTTTATTAGTTGTTTAAATCATTCAATATTACTAATAAATTGCGTTCTTCCAAGTACTGTCGACATAATACCATTATAGAATTCCATTAAAATAACTAAGAAGAGCGTGGATGTAGTCGCTGGTGCAGAGATGACAGATACTCATAACCGCACCCACCAACACAAAACTATTATATTTTCGACTGAGACTAGCTTTCAGTTTTGCTTCCTTATCATTAAGTGATTCTCAACAGATATAGTAAAATTTGTGTTGCTTCTGTTTCAAATACTTTGTGAACGCAAGTGTGTTGCTTATCGTAGTAGCCGGATTACCAGTGTGAACATTTAGTGATGTTGAATATAATTTTAGACATTGGTATTGTTTGACCTTGAATAGGATGAGGTGAGGTAAGATAGTATACATTGATGAGTAATTCATATCTAGATATATGTGTTTGCTATATTATTGAAAATGTGCTTATATGACAAAGAAACAATTTTGACTCAAGAAAAACACCAGATGTGCAATTTCACAAGCTATATACTATAAAAAAGCCAAATGATTATCACAATATTCACTGAAATCAAATCATCAATAAAAAAATATGAACCTTATCACAATTGTTTCGTTATTCGTTTATGTAGCTGTTACTACATCAGTTATTCTTCCTGAATTACATGTTATCAAACGTATATCATTTAAATATCCATACAGTTGTCAACCGGGCCCATTAAGTTATGAAGGTTGTGCTCTATTCATTACCGACTATGGTGTATCACGAAATATGCCTGATCTTTTATATAATGGTGCTTGTGGTTCTGACAATACCTTTGATGTGATGTTATCTGGTGACAATTTTGGTATGTTAAGCGACTTAGGTGATGTGCCACTGGAAAATGTAACAGCATCAAAAGCTTTCAATTACGAAAATATGGCTGGACAAGATAACCAATTCTTTAGCAACATCAACGTAGTCAAAGGGCATACCTATGCCGCACTTTTAGCTAAAGAAGAAATTCGAGCATTATTTGTGTTTCGTGTTGAAAGCTATGAAAAAAGTGGTCCCGCTACAATTGCTTATGCTGTTAAGCAATATGGTGTCGTTCAATCAGTTCAAGAAGCACCTGGTTTTTCTTGGGTTGAACCAAATCATTGAGAAGAATTAAAATTATTCATGTCTGTCAATCTTTGAACAGAGTTCCTTATTACTCTTATGCATGTTTTTGAATAAACACCAAGTAAAAAAAGAGCATCATTCTCAAAGGTTTAAGGTCAAAAGAAGGAAATCATAAAACAGTGAAGAAGATTAAATCCAATGAACAATTAAAATCTGATTTCATACTTCAGTATAAAGATTTTATTGTGAGAAGTTCCGATATTCAATCTATTTCAACAATAGAAAGCGATATTTGATCTTGCTGAAATTTATTTAAAATGCATTTAAGTGAAAGTTTTCAATAGATGATATTGCTATAAATAATAATTCTAATCAAAAATGAAAAAATGTAAATTAACAATTAATTGAAATATAAACTATTTAAGAGTGGTGTTCTGAACAGTACATGTATCTTTTTTTCTTTTTTAAAATAATGAACAGGAGTCAGCTTGATCTATTTAAATATGGCAGAAACAGCTGCTATTTCTAATGAACTGTAAGATTTTTCAATGTTTCTTTTTGTTGTTATATTTATGTGACTAAATCACTTTTGGATAATTTTGTTGCCACGTATTGTGTGCAAAAGCCAAGTTGCATACAAAATTTAGCCACTATTTTGTAAGATATCAATACTCTAGAATTCGAGCAACGTTTTTCTGCATATTGTTTCGACATTTTAGGATAGATTCAGTCAAGTGGCGTTTTGAAATTTTTTCTAAATCTAATCAGACAATATTTCTTTGTTTTAATGATACGAACCTGAAAAAAGTCAGAAAACTCAATTCATAAGAAACTTAAACACATCTAAATCTTCACATATTGATAGTCTTAATAATTATTGCATATATTCTTCTGGTTTTATCAGTGATCTAGTGCGTGAAAACTAACACGTTTATCTTTAAAATATGATTGCATTGTTCAAAATTACGATCATACTTTCTGATGAGAGCACAACATTTTAAATAGGCATTCGTATTCCAAGATGTTTTGATTATGAAAATTTCGCTTGAAAATAAGCGGAGAAATTTATTGTGAAAATTCAAAATTCATAGCTAAATGAGTAGATTTTGCTGAAGTTGGGTACAGTGACGTGTTTGTTGTTGATTTTTCAATTAGTCTATAATCAAAAATTAGAAAAAAATCCTTTTGACACATTGACTCAATTTGAATATGTTCATTTTACTTCTTAAAAAATGTAAGATTATAAAAAGAAAATTCTAGTGAGTTTTTTAACAAAAAATGTCAATGTCAATCTATAGATTTTGACCTATGAGATTTCAATAATTTTCAAAAGTCCAGCTTTTGTTTCACACAATTACTGCAATTGTACTTAATCATTGCTTATTAATCGGTAGTCGACATAAAATTGCAAATTTATCAAATAAAGATAACATGGTATGAGGACAACGAGTGAATACTAATGAATTGATCTAGATGTAAACGCATCATTGTCTCCCAGTTATTATCCATAATAAATATTTGATGATATTAGCAAATAAAGAGACGTGAAAATTCTGAAAATTTACTTTAGCTTACATTTCAAAAACAGCTTTTCTCTTTTGAACATATATTTTTATAATAGTATAACCTGGATCTTGTAATTAAAATACATATATCGTTATTCTGGCCATTCAAAATTGCTCAAAATCGCATAAAAGAGTTAGATGATAAAGAATATCACGCCATTTCTGGTGGATCATCTTTCATTTATTTAAACTTTCTTTAAAACCATATGATAATATTGTTAGTAAGCATACTTAAGGTTGATTTTTCTCAGGTTTACTTAAGCATGGCACTTTTTCTTCAGTGAAAACTCACTTGTAAGATTTATATTTTTGTACAAATAAAAAATTTACGGAGAATCTTTTTAATAATGCCACTTTTTCTGTATCTAGCTTTCAAGTGACTTAGACATTTTGAAAGATTTTGACATTATCCAGTTTTTGGTATATAATCAAGCATATTTATCAAGCTTCTATTAGATATAACTGATAGTCAATTAAAGATAAATTACGATGAGATATTTGTAAGCACGTATCTATTTTGTACTATGCTTTTCCAAATTATTTTCATAAAATGTAAGCAAAAAGAAACACGCTTACATTTTCAAGCAAAGTAAGTATACCGATCGAATAGAAAATGTAAATATGCTAGAATTTAAAAGCTATAGATATTCGATTATGTTGACAATGATCTAAAGACAAGAACTCAAACAACTACAATAATATCATCGGAAAAAGAATAGAAAAACAAATACTCGATAGAGAAGAAAAATAATACTCCACAACATGTGAATAATCCTGCTGACATAGAGATTTGCAACTAACCAAGTCGATATAAAGATGTCTATTATATAAAACTGAGAATCAATTATTTGGCTATTTTTCTTCAAACAAGTACCGTAAAACATAGATTTCCATTGACATAAATCAGTAAGGTGGATACAGCTGTTGAAGATACTCATACCAACAAGTTGCTTTGATACAATCGTTATATTTATTTCAACTTTATCAACAGAAAAAGAAACCGTGAGTTGGCATATTTGCCTATAAATCACTTCGATCTAATCCATATAAGACTTTGATTTATTTATGATTTTACTTTTAAATAGGAGAAGAAAAATTATTGACTACAAATATCACAATTAAATGTGTCTATCGATACTTTGTTCTGCTTGTCATTCGTCTAGATACGATTTTCAATAGAAAAAGAAATGTTTTTCTTATTTTTTCTTATTAACCTATTGAATGGATATGAGTACATTGTGTATTTCTTTTTTTTTATGCATTTCATGATGAAATTAATTTAAAATAAAACGAGTAGCTATTAATTTCCGATGGTTTTTAGCCTGCGGTATCGAGAATAAGTACACGCTAGGTGTTTTCTCGTAGCTATACTTGTTCTGAAAGAATGTATGGACCTCTCTCTGTAAACATTTAGATGATATATGCGAGAAAATAGGCATTTATTATCGTGAGAACCATATATATATATATATTTTCTATTTTATTTATGATCGTTGATAATTATTTTTGAATGCAACATATAATATATTTATCGATTTAGATATTGTTGATTTGACATAAATCATCTTGAACATTGATTCTTGCACGTAAAATAAATCTGATAGTTGATTTTCCATTTACATTGAGAGAAGAGTTAGATCTGCATTTCTTTCTGTGTATTTACTTCGTTCTATGAGATAGAAATAAGACGAACTGGTATATGTCATCTTCATTCACTATTCTGATTTGAATTTTTAGTGGACCCTATGAGAATGATACGATAGATTTTATGACTGACATTATTTTCATAGTCCCAGACGAGCAGATTAATAAAAATAAACGGAAGTAATTAAATAGTATTTACATGTTGATTTTCCTTAACGGTGAGAGAAGACTACGATTCTACTTTTTGTTAACAAGTACGTTGAATAAAGATTCATGGAAAAGGTGCTACCTGGTTTTTTCATCTATTGACTAGATCATTTTACGTTTGTTTATTTAAAACAGTACCATTGACATTTTAGGCAACTAGAAGATAATTTAAGGCCATGAAAATAAATGAGTAATATTTTTATTTTCTTTCTTTGTAATGTATTTATTTCGATGTTTTGTTGTTGATTCATCTTTCTATTTCGATATTATACTATATATTTAAAATCGAAATTTCAGTTTCCTGATTATAATTGAACAATGATAAAAGAACATATTTTTGATGAAAAATTAGTTTTTTTCTGAATATATATATATTGATAGACTAGTAAATACAATTGTAACTTTAGTAGCAGCTTCTAAACAAATATCTCATTGATACAATGAATGTTCTTTATCAAGAGCTATTCATGAACGATCAAGGGCACGTTTCTGCATTTTCTCATTTAATGAAACCTATAAATCAGTCCTTGTTGATCAAGAAAACGATAAAAACTTTATAAATTTTACTTTAGAATTCCGATAGAAATAAGGAAAAAAAGAATCCCATTATGATTTCTTTAGTAACATTAATGTAATATATGCTTTCGATAGTTATTAGATTATCTATGGAAAACGCATCGTTATCTGTCAATAATACTATTGATCATAACTGGTGTTTACCATGGACTAAACCCATCTATCTATATGGACATTTAATTCCAGCTATTGCTTTATTTATTTTTGGTGTTACTTTCAATCCAATAGCACTTTATTATTTTGCAACGTCGCGCAATTTTCGTCGTACAGCCTATTCATATTATTTTTCAGCCATTGCTTTTGTTGATCTTGTTCGTTTAATAATATGGTGTCTATTTTTATTACTCGATTATAAAATATTTAAATTACGTTTTCATTCATTTGAATGTTCGACACAAATTTTTGTAGAATCAGTCACAAGTTCAATTAGTGCTTGGTTAACCGTTTCCTTAGCTATTGAACGTTGTTTAGCTGTATCTATACCATTTCAAACATACACTGACACAAGAGGCAAACGTGCTCTTATTATTATACCTAGTGTTGTTTTGGCATCATGTGCGATTAATTCGCTTTTTCTACAAACACGGTTCTATGAAAAAAGGTCAGCATTGATATTATTTCCTGGTTTTTTCTTTTAGGGAAATAGAAAATAACATTTTCCATGTGTTTCTTATCTTTCTAAAGAAATATTTATATTACTAATGATCTTAACATTTGTTTGAAGAAAGTATTTCAAGCTTAAAATAAATAAAATAAATACATAATATATAAGAAAAAGAAACAATGATTCAAAAATAAACATGATTTGCAACGAAAAGTCATTTTCTAATTAACATTTTCAGAAAAAACACTGAAACATGATTATCGAGGATATATATACTTAGCAGCGGCGTAGCCAAGGGGGGGGGGGGGGGCAAATTGGGCCTTGNTCCTTTTTTTGATATTTTTGAGACTGAAATAGTTTTGCCTATCAATAAAAATATTGCCCAAATTGCCCATATCTTTTTTTATACACAACACAAGTTTGCCCATAACGCTAAAAATCCTGTATACGCCATTGATACTTAGTACTGTTGAAATAAAATTTCTTCAAGTTCATGGGCAATATATAATTAATTTCTCGGACACATATTTCTAAATGTATTTTTCATGAGATTTCATTACAAGAGCAATGTTATCTATAATGAACATAGAATTACATAGAAGACTTCCTTTTATCATTTGATGTAATAATCGATTTAATATCTTCAATATATGCTGAATTGAACCGTTATTTCTAACTTTTTATCTTAAGATTATATTGCAAATTTAACACTTTTAACACGACTCTTTCTCTTTTAATACTATGTTAGAGAAAAATTAACTTTTTTCGAATTGATTTAGAGTGTATGTCAAAGAAACTCAAACAATAATATGTTATTATAATACATTTTCAAATGGAAATGTAACAGTTCATGATAATCCATTCACCTTAACAGCAAATATCAAACGAATATATTTATTATTTATAGTAATAATTCGTGTTGCTATTCCATTTATGCTACTTCTTACAGCAAATATTATACTTCTTGGAAGTGTGCGTAAAAATGAAAAACAATCAACAAAGTATGCGAAGATATTATTAGTGCGTCATGGTCGTCAACGACAAATAACACCGATGATATTGTTTTCGTCATGTATTATTTTACTAACAATTTCACCTCGGTAAATTGAAACGAAAGAAATTTCTATTTTTGCTTAATTCTATAATTCATAGATATTTACTTCAATTTTATTTTAATTTTTTTCAACAATCCTTCAATTGTTCATTAATACATTTTGCTCCACATGTATTAAAAACATTAGAATTATTTAATTATTCATTCAATGTGTTCGTATCTGTTGTTAGTGGTAAAAATGCTCGTCGTGAATTATTCAATATGTTATCATGTCGATCAACAAGTTTAAATTCAAAATATAATGGATCATCAGAACATTATTCAGTTGTTTTATCTAAAATGACCTATCAAAATCGATCAAAACACAACACTAATAATCAAATGAATTCAACTAATACAGCGCTTCTTACTAATAATACAGATTTTCATTAATGTTATTGATAGGCAGATGTTTCTTCATTCCATGTGGCTTATACAACTATACAATTGTCATTAAAGCTATTTTTTCGAATAGCTTTGTATTTAATAGGTACAAAGGTGAATGAAATAGACTAAAATAAATAGATACTATTGTCTATTATTAGAATATAATCAGTGTCATTTCAAATTTTCTATCACAACAACTTTCAACCGTCTAAACTCTTATTTTTCATGTCAATAAGAAAACAAAAAAAATCAATTTAAAATGCCTTCTAAGATTTTGTATTCTGGTAAGACTCGGTAATGATATTATGTATGTATGCATATATACTTTGATAAATCGTAAAAAGAAGCTCGATAAGTAACAATTAAATACGTTTAACGTGTATTTGCGAATCTAATAAAATATAAAATTCAAATTGAATGAATACAATTTGAAGGATTCATTTGTGAAACGCTATTTATTGATTCCATATTATGAAGAATATTATACATTTTCTTTATTAAATTAGATGATAAAATATTTAGATAAACAAAATGCTTGATTCTTAACGAATGGAATTTTTTTTCTTTTAGTTACATTAAACATTTTATGGTACTCAAGGTTTTAGTAAAATCAAATCTACTGTCTGCTCTAAGATCTCTAGAACAAATACACGAACAAACTTTGAAAATTTTTCAATCTACCTAGTTTTTCATAATCTAACTGATAATTACTCACCACTTGCAAATCGATACTCCAGCTCCCTATTTGACGTACTTGTCGAATCTTTCAGCAGCATGTAATCGACATAATAACTAGTTCTATCATACATCAATATACAAAGGCAGTTTGCATGGCAGTTAAAAACCGAATCTACACTATCAAAAAAACAATTTTATTAGCAAACGTTGTTGCTTTCACAAATTTTTTGAAGATTCAAATAAAACATGGATTAACGTGAATAGAGATCAAGTTAAGCAACCGCTTTTGTTGATCCAGAATCGATTCGAACATCTTTTCATTCTCTCATTGCAATAAGACATCTACCTGTTGTTATGAACATCAAATTATTGTCATAGGCAATAGGGCGTCTGACAAAATTCAAATCTTTAAATAATATCAAAAAGTTTGTATTTATACCAACTCGTAAACAACTATTATCCAAAGAATAAGACCTTTTACATGACTCAGCATGATGACCAAGTATCTCCATATCAGACATAGAAAAACATCTTGATTTAGCGAGACAAGAACACATACATGTTTATTGTCTTCGCCCAAGTACCATCTCCATTCTGTTACATATCTCTACATATACGATCTTATTGTTTTGTATGCAGTCATGAATATATATATATATACATATGTCTATATATGAGTATAATGCTAAACTTTATGAGTACTTCAAATATGCCACAGCAAGATTACCTAAGAATACATGTACGCCATATAGGTTTCGTCATGAATGCTCGACACAACTACCACCATATCATTTTGCATCACATTATAATAAATATATAAGATGCATAAAGACTAGATAAGCAGAATACCGATATATAAAGACAAGAACATATTTTGTATAGTTTATTTTTGTCTTGCTCCACAACTGACAGTAAAATTTGGTTTCATATGATAACTTCGAATTCCTGTTATATAATGGATTTCAAATCAAAATAAATTTTAGACAAATGAATTTGACTTTTCTATGATTTTGAAACTTAATCACTTGAACGTATTGATACAACTAAGATTACAACGATAGACGCATGTTTTATCTTCCTGAAAATATTATTGTGATAAATTATATATAAAATTAAATTGCTAGATAGAAATATAGGAGATTTAAAGAAAATAAATATTGAAGATTTTTTTTTTAAAAAGCATCACAAAATAGATCGAGCACGCGGTCTTTTAGTATTTGAAAATGGCAAACTGCGAAAAAAAGATCGAGAAAACTAGTGTCATCTGTCATAAAAAGTTTAGGATTGATCAAAGCTGGCCACCATTCATAGAAATCAATATTTTTTCCTCTTCTTTCTTTCCGTCGACGGAACAGCAAACTCCAGTCAGATGTATTTTTAATGAAGATATTATCTTAAATATTATGGCGTCAAATTATTTTATACACAATGCATTCACTGTTGAAATGCTCATTATTTATTGTCAAACTTTCCTTCAAGAGTTACGTTCATGAACAATTCTCTTAATTATTTATTTAGTAGATTTCTACCAAAGAAAGCTAACTTTTTCTTTAACTCAGATGCCACTACAATTCAAATACTTGATGAAATGGTTGGATTTTAATGCTAAGATGGAATATCACTGGTGTTTTTTCTAAATAAAATTCATATATATGATCATTTCAAATTTTTACTGTAGTCCATGGTAAGTTTTCAGACAAGATGAGAAAAATTTGAAAGTTTTACTTATATAACTAGTTTTATTCTCCTGCGTTAGGATATCAATAGTTTTTAATTTTTAATTATCCTTATGATAGCATTCACAAGTGTTAACAAAGAATCGCGTCAACTAATATTCAAGAGAAAAGATGAACCAAGAGTGTAAGACGACGATAAATAGCGGCTTAATCTAAGGGAACAAATCTGAACTGAGACGAAAATATTAAGAAAAAGGACCAAGTAATCCTCTCACTACGTAGCACTAAGGAATCCAGCTGAGCTTTCTGCTCAATTATGCTGTAAATGAAAGGGTTCCACTGATACTAATCTACAGATCATCCATTGACTGTTGCCTATTGAAGATTAACAAGGTTTATAATAATGATTGATACTGCATTGTTATCATTCGATCTATTCATACCGAAAAGATTTAGTCGATTCCCTATGAGAATCATTTGCGATAGAAAATATCTGCTAAAAACTGTAAAGAATCTTAATTCGATGAGTACATGTTATACAAAGAGCTATTCATGCTTTACTTTAGCATAAAAATTCAAAAGATTTAGAAGTTATCAATAATCGATGTTTAGAAAAAGTCAAGGTCATAAGAAGCTGGACACATTAATAGGAAGAGGTGTCAGACATTTATTAACGTTGTCAACCTTGCTTATAGGGACATTAAAGCTGAATGATAAAAAAAAACATTTATTAACGTTGATTATTTTTCTTTTTGATAGTCTTCGACGGAGTTTTTCATAATTCGATGGCTTATCGTACACGAATATCATATATATATCATTTAGATTGGAAAAGTAGTAAATAGTATCTTTTCAAAAATAAAACTTCGAAGCTCACAATCTAATGAAATGGACTGAATCAGTTACATATGAGCATATTGTGCCGACCAAGATTAAGAAGGAGTAGACGATGAATATGCGATTTTTACAGATAATCCCCTTATGTTCTCATACATTCGTGGAAGATTTGTATTCTATTCAATTCGAGTAACACCACAGCACCAATCATTCATGTTTAAGTATGACGATTTTAAATGAATTTTTTTTACAGAAAAACTTGTTCTTGAATATTCATTCTCTTAATAGTTCTAATCTGTACACTATATATACATATATACTAAAATAATCTTAATTTAACAACAACATCTCTCTCCGTTAAAATCCTCAATGCTATCCGAAATATTTTTTCTAAATAGCTAATCAAGTAGTATATATGAGTCAAATTTGATAATCGAATTTTTCCTAAATATATTTTCTCGAGTATTTTTTTCCCCAATACTACTTGTATGAAATAAATTAAATCGTTATTACATCGATGTATTCATATTCGTTTTCTATGACTTATTGATCCGATACGTTTATTGTACATTATCGTGAACATCTTCATTTGTAGAAAGGTAAATTTAATTTTAAACATGACACACATATTATCTAAACATTCTTTTAGTTAATTTGTTTCTTATGTGATAACAAAGCAAATCATTAATTTTAAATATAGAATTTAACAGCTAATAGTCAGCTTAGAAAAGAAAAAAGTTTCTATATTTTAGATTATGTCATCATTAGGATCTGAGAGAGTTTTATCTAAATCTCGACGTCGTTTTACGACAGATACACTTTTTCGTCTAATAACACAATCAAATCAATATGATGATATTCGTTCATCCTCTTTACATGACAATGAATCAATGTCATCTTATACAAATGGACATTTGTCTGAATGTGATCTGCGTCATCTTTGGTCTCTTTTATCACAAATGATCCATAAACGCCTTCTTAAACATGAACCATGTCTATTACCTGAACTCGGTGCATTTGTTTTAATTGATCATCCATCATTGGATAGTGCCATTAATCCTATAAAAGAACCATTTTTTGTGTTAGATACAACATTTGCACGCCGTCATCGTTTATCGCGAATTAAAAAACCGAATCTATCATCAGCACTTTCACTTTCACTGCAAGCTAACGGAAATTCAACACATATTGAACCCAATACATCATTGTCGTCGTTTAATATGCAAACATTAGATTATACGTCATTACAAAATGAATCGGGTTTAACACGTGAACAATTAATGACGGCTATAGCACAAATATTTGCTATAATTGATAAAGAAATTAATCCATATGGATATTGCTATTTAGAATTTCCTCAATTGGGGCATTTCAAAATTTCATTTGGTTTGGCTACATTTGATTTTAGTGAGACATTTGTTGAAGAATTTAAAGCGACAATTAATAATACAATAAATGAAAAATAAAATGAACAGGATTTATATATATATATATATATATATATATATGTATGTATATGTATATGATATCCGGTGATTATATTAAGTGTTGTCAGATTTTCTTTTTCTTTTGTCTGTAACTTTTGTTCGCTTGTAGTTATTTGTATTTAATAAAAAAGAGTATTTGTGTACACATGTGTCATGATTCATAAATATTTATCATAAAAATACGAGAATCTGTAGAGTTAAGATAATTCTTTCTTACTGCAATATATAGAAATCAGTGCTAGGGCGAATCATTTCAGGACCATTTATTGAGAACAAAACATAGCAGAACTGCAATCACATGGAAAAAATGTTCAAACATATTTTCGGATGAAAAAGTGCTAGAATTTATTTCAACAATGAGATCTTCATCGTATAATTCTGATAGATAACAATGTGAAAGTATATATATGTATTTAAAATGTGATTTCGAAGCGTGGATGAAACGACACGTTTGACTATGATGAGCCTGTGAGTATACAGTAAGCGCCACAAGTGGTCGCGCTCTAAAAAACGTAGAAGACAAATAAGTTATATCGCTATATTTTATTTATGGAATCTACATAATAGATACATCATCTTAATAATTAATATAATCCCCTTTTCTTTCAATTAATAACTCTACTCGATTTTTCATCGAAGCAACTAATTTTTCAGCAAATTGAATAGGTAAATTTTTTCATTCTTTTTTAATTTTCCTAATATAGTTCTTGATCGATGTTGGTGATTGTTTGTTTATTTTGAGTTTCAGTGAAGCCCAAACATTTTGTGGAACTCACATATATTTTCGAAAAAAATGGTGAGTGTAAGTTTAAAAGCGAGATTTTGGCGGCTCTCCTCCCTCTCCCTATTACAGACATTAATGAGTTTAAAATTGTGTTAATTAGGAGTTTCACTACTTAGGCTGCTATTTGTTTCTTTTTTAATTACAGACTACACGAAAAAAGCAATGCTTGCCCATTACAGACCATAGTAACTAGTATCTGCCTTTGTGAAATATACGAGCTAACAATTAATACTCCATTACAGACATAAGTAAATAGGCGATGGCCTAATTATCGGTTTTGGAAATCAAGGTAGATTTTTCAGATGAGCTATTCTGAATTAATTTAATAAGCCTAAAGGATATATGTGAGTTCCACATTTTAGCCCCAAAGGGGCTGCGCTAACCAGCTTTTCAATTGGATTGCAGTTCGGTGGTTGTGATGACCACGATAATGATTGTATACCATTGTCAACCTTAAATCTTTTACACATCTTGAAAGTGTGTTTAGGATCATTGCCCTCCAACAGTTTCAAATGAGAAGCATTGTTACCAAACCATTTTGTTGATGGCAGAAGTTCATTCTTGTGTATTGTACACATAAACTTCCACTTCAATATATGTTTAAATAATACCTGTTTTACCAAATTCATATTGACTAAAGCAACCACAAACATGCACTTTGACAGGATGCTTAACTGCGGAAACATAATATTGTTCACCACGTTTCTTCCAAACACGTCTTATCATTTGTTTCATATGAAAAGAACTCTCATGTGTAAAAACAACTTGATTCCAGTCCATATCTTTATGTTACATAGCCCACTGAAATCTTTTTATGTACTCAAAAGTGAGTACACTCTAGAATCGGTCAGTGTGTCTGGCCGTCCGTTTACATGATAACTTTCGAAAGGAGAGTTAGATCATGATGAAATTTTCTACACAGTTCAGCCTCATCAATGTCTCAGTCGAGTTCGAAGATGAGAAGGATCCGTCAAAAAATAGTTGAGTTATCGAAAAAATTGTCATCATTGACCAGACCATCCCTGAGGGAGGTACAGGGATTTTCCAAAAAACAAAACCCAGAATTATTCACAATATATATAAATCCAATCAGTTTTTAACGCTGATTTTGAATCTGATATTAGTTTTGAACCAAATTGTAGTTTTCTAACGAAACATTACCTGCAAAAGGTCTCAAAATGCACAAAAAACTGCATCCAGAAATCAAATTGACTAGTTTCTCATGATAATTTTGGTGTTCAGACATTCTAGAATGGCTCATATGTCCCATGCACTTTTTGCAGTACACATAACTCTCGGATGAAATCCGAAGTTTCCACATTTATTTTAATCCTTATATCAAAAATTTCATACACTGTAAGTTTTTATTTCTAATGAGCAAAGAAGACCACTCGAGCAATGCCCGAGTAGAAAAGACGGTTGATTGCATAAGTCCAAAAAATGTCACAGCACGATTCTATATAACATTCGGTATTTTAAAATCTTAGACTTCCGTACAAGCAACCATAACGAATTTCAGTCGCGTTCAGCTATCTTATCTCAGCTGACAAGTTAAGAGATAATGAATCTGAACTTAACGTTAGTTTAAAAGATATTTTTACATAATTAACTATTCGCTGTATATATATATTCAAAGGTCATTGGTGTTCGTCGATTATCTCAAAGTCTTCTTCCGGTTATTGTTGAATTAGCTAGTGACGTGAAATGGCGTGTACGTCTAGGTATTATTGAATATGTGCCACGTTTAGCTGGACAATTAGTAAGTTAAATATTTGTTTTTGTTTTTTTGTATTTGAAAATTTAATTTTTTTATAGAGTCCAGAATTTTTCGATAAAAGACTTAGTAGTCTTTGTATGAGTTGGCTTACTGATCATGTCTTTGCTATACGTGAAGCAGCAACAAATAATTTTAAAAAATTAGTTGAAAAATTTGGTCGTGATTGGGCACAAAATGCAGTCATACCAAAAGTTCTACGATTAGCTCGTGATCAAAATTATTAATATCGAATGACTTATCTATTTGCCATTAATGTATATGAATTATTTCTTTTGATATTTCAAATAAAAAATCAGTTTTTTTTTGTATTTTTATAGATCTTCGCTGAATCTTGTGGTCAAGAAATAACACAAAGAATGATGTTACCAACCGTACTTGTACTTGCTAGTGATCCGGTAGCTAATGTACGATTTAATGTAGCTAAGACATTTCAACGCATTCATCCAATACTTGATGCAGAGTAAATAAAAGAGATTTCTTTTTTTGTATCTAATTGTTTTACTTTTTAGTGCATTGGCTATGCATGTTAAACCTTGTTTAGAAAAATTAACTCAAGATGTTGATCATGATGTTCAATATTTTGCAAGTGAAGCTTATGAAAGTAAGTTAAAATAAATTTTTAGTTTTTTTTTTCTTTTTCTTAAACTTTATATTTTTCTAAGAACTACGAACTATTCATCATAGTTATCGTCAAAAGGTTTCTTCTTTGTTTTATTCTTTTTTCTTTTTTTCTATTTTTGGAGTTAACATATTTCGATGTGTAATAATAAGAAAATAAATATACCGCCTTCTCCTCCCCCTCCCTAGTGATGACGTAACATGTGAGCGATCCCATTATGTATCACCATCGAAAGTAGAAAATAAATTTTATTTGAAACAATTTTCATGAATTATTATCACGTCTCGGATGAGTGCATAAAAGAGCATCGGCATCGAAGTTATAAGTTCGATAAAGTATAATCAAGGTCCGTGAGAGAAAAAGAAAAAGAAAGCCTGGATACGACGTGATATAAGACCTAGACAGACAGAATTTGTTCGTATATATATATATATACGTATACGTATATTTAACCCTAGTATTCACACATTTAGGTAGTTGAACACAACACAATAAACACGTTTATTTTCTAAAAAGTATCCAATGGATTCAACAGCTATTGCACAAATTCAAAATGAAGTAATTAAATAATAAAGCCAATCAAAAGCTCTTCTTTTCGTTTAGATTGAATGTATTGTGCAACTTAACAACAAGAATACACAAAACATCGGGAAAAAAAAGAAATGATTCAAATTCTCAAGGAAGATATCGATGAATTGTATCTTGTTCAAGAAAAATACAACGAACAATTAAAATCGTTATATGAAACATCAAGTAAAAGCCATAGGAATACAACATTCATAATTTATATATTTTCGTTTTAGATAAAGCAAAAGCTGAAATTGAATCACGTACGGATAAAACATAAACAGCTACGGCAGTACTATCATCATTTTATGAACATTATTCATTATTAATAAATTTTATGAACACCTTCTGTTTCTGTTCTCTTATAACCCTCTATAGTATATCTTTCATTTTTTTTTCTTTTCATTTGTATTCCATAATGATTTATTCTCTCATCGTTATTCTATTCTAGCATTTCTTCTTTTTATCAAACACCTGTTTTTTTTTCTTTCGATGTACCATTGTAACTGTTCGATTGTTGCGATATACAAAAGAAAATAAAGATAGTCCAAAAAGATTTAGACAGCAAAACTCATAGATATTAACAAAGAATCCAATGATTCAAATGCCATCATCAGGCAAAACGCACCGTTTATTATGTTTCTAAGTTTCATGAACAAATCATAAGAACACTATATTTGTAGAGAAGGAAAATAAAGACAAAAATCTCTTGAATGATCCAATGATCCCAAAGTAAATAATCGCTTGATCTTCACACAATTGTGTCGTGTTTCATCTCGTGTAAAGTTCTTTGTTACAGTTTTCAAGTGAATATCGACAACTCCCAATTCGGTCAGACAAGGTGCATATGTCTTTGTTTCATTTAAAAATTGTTCAACATAATCTCTATGTCCATATCTTACATCAAGTGAAGTAAGATGATAATATTCAACAATTGAATGTGATCCACTATTGCCCAATTCAAATGTCGTATGATCATATAATACTGCTGATTCTATATTGAAAATACGTAAATATTTCAGTAATGGAAACGATCGAGCAATTCGAATGAAGAATTCATGTTTGAATGGATCATCATCTTCTACAAGTAAATACGTAACATAACTGAATACAATATTTGGAAATACATTGCCAAGATGTTCGAGATAATCAAAAGCAAAAGGAAGTGAGAAAATCGAGCATGCAGCTTTGTCAGTACTAACATAATTAACGATACTAGTTGCATGTTGTTGTCCAATATTTGTTAATGTTCGTCGAATATCTTCATTAGATAATTTGTAGGATAAGCCAATAGTATCGACATAAGTACCAATATAGAAAGTGAATGAATGAAGTTGTGGCATATAATCAAGAATATCACGTTGAACACAAGTACCATCAAGCACTCTATTTCGACCTTTTACATGAACATATAAAGTTAATTGTTCCAGACATGACATACGACGAAGAAGTAATACGATTTTATCATATTGCTGAAATCGACATATCGATTTCAATGAGAAACATTTCAGATTAGGTAAATTATCCTATAAAAAAAAATATTTTTTTAATTATCTACAACACTAAGTCATACAAATCATTCTATACATATGGTGTTTATTCTACATACTGTCTATTAATGGTCACAAACGATAAATCTATCAGTTTGATTATACGAAACACGATCTAAAACAAGTGTTGAAGTGTATCTGCATGAACAATTACACCACCCCACAGACCAGAACCGACATTACCACGAAAATGTTATAGACCATGACAGATGCTGCAACACAAGCGCCTCTCTCTCCCCATCACATACAGTAACAGATATTATCAATTGGTATTACAAACAACTATTTCATGTTTCAGTTTTATTACGTAGAATTGTGCTAACAGCTTTTCTCATTTTAGAACATTAAGTAATGGATGTATTGAAAGAACAATTGATAATTTTCTGATAAAATTCTAATCATATCTCAATTGTTGGAAAAATTGTTACAGAAAAAATTTCCTTCCATTCTTTACTAATGATTCTTCACATATCATAATATTTAATTATGAAATAGAACAGTCTCCTTTTAAATGTGACACTAATCTGATAGAACACCACATAATTTTTATTTCTATCAACAAATTTCATTGATCCTTTTATTAAATTCAAATTTCTGATAAGTGCAAACTTAATGTCGATAACTCTAGTTTATCCACCTTTCCTTCTTGTCCATTAGAAACTTAATCATTGAACTTTTTATTTCAATCTTTTGGCATAAATCCAAACTGGATTGAAGTGGTTATTATCTTTATCTCATAAATACAATTATTTCTGAAAAACTTACCACATTGTGAACAATTACTGAAGAATTGTCTATATCATAGATAGCAACAGACAATTCTGCCAATTGTTTAAGCCGGCCATCAAGTAAATAAAGACAATCGTCAAAAGTATTCACGTTGATATTCAAATAAGTAAGAATTAGAGAAAAAAAAGTGCCCGATGGCAAATCAGAGAGTGATAAACCTGGATATAATATACGAAATGGTTGAATGACAGTTAGATTTTTTAAGTTCTTGAAAAAATCCAAGATGCATGCATATACGTTTGTAGTATAATTTTTCAATAAACCTATGCTTCCGTTCTGATCATGGTTAACAAGAATAAGATTTGTAATTTGTTCGAAAATAGATTGAAGTGATGACTCATCTAAACGAGAAAATCAATCAATGAAATGAAATATAGTGTAGTCAATTCTACGTAATATTTATTATTATCTATGAACTAAGCAAATTCATATTAAATATTTACCTGTAAAATAATTCAAAACGATTTGTTGTTGGAAATGAAAAATTTCAAGTTTATTTAGATTTGGATAGGAAGTAGCAAGAAGAATACGTTCCATAAAAACTGGATCAATAATAAAACATTTCACATTCTGATGAATCCTTGGCAATATGTCGATGCAGAAGCGATCGATTAAACACATATCATCAATAGAGACAAACTTGACAGTGTTGGTGAAAGTATTTTCTTGTGCAAGAATGTTAAGTCGTCCATTATTAATATCCAATAAAGAATAAAGAACATCAATATTGTTCAATTTCTTCAAAATAATAAGTAATATTTCATCAGGTAAATCCAGAAGATGAATACTTGATCGGTTCATATTTTATTATGACTGCGATGTCTTTGACTTAGAGAAAGCTATGTATACCTATATGTTCTTTGCTTGTATGTCACCACTATTGCGATTGTCAAATTGGATAGGTCAACCTATTAACAAAAAAAGAAATATTGATGTATCGTCCAACTGGATCATAGTCATTGAATGCTGTGTTCGTTTGAACGAAAATTGAAGAAATTATATTGTGAACGAATAGATGTGTTTTTCTTATGGGAGAGTCAATTGAGTTTCATTCCTATATTACCTGTTTTGCATTCAATATTTTTTCAATTTAGAATGAAATCTGAAATTCTTGCGTAAATACAGTTCCGTGTCTTCTCATTTTTGAACATAAAATTGAAATTCAAAAACTATTAAATTTAATTTCAGTTATTATTTTTATTTAGATTGTTAAACAGAAACAAGTTTAGGACTCACAACTTTTCGTTCTTGAAATTTTAAAACATTTGCTCGGACAAATTGTAATAAAATTTATACCTTAAATTCAACTTTTAACTAGCTGCAAATTAAGCTGTAATTTGTAGAATGCGCTAAACTATTGGTTTTAGTTTCTTTTAATTAACTGCAAGTCATAGAATTCGCTAAATGTTATCATCAGTAACAATGTCATGAGCTGGTTTTTTTTCTCTGAACTTGGATACACAAGCAATTGTCATAGAAACATTAAATCAAGCATCAAAATGGATAACTATCAGTAATCAAAGTACAAGAGCATTTACATGCAACAAATATAGAAAATGATGTTCAAAAAACGACGGCTTTGAAATGTGGATGTTGATGAGTCTCTTATCTTCATACGTACACCCCCTTATCGATCTACTTTAGATTAGCAATGAATACTGAATTATCATTACAAATTATTATAGAACTTCTTTGAAATCTCGCTTTGAATTCAATTGAAATTCTTCTTACCTAAGCTTGAAATCGGCGATCCTTGCTCGAATATTTTCAGTAATATTTTATCAATAACAAAACCTCAATTCTTTTAATTTACATTTCATACCAATATTTAATTCTCCGTTACAAGGCTAACTTCAAATGTAGTGAATACCAATATTTTATTTCTTTCTACTTCAATAATTTTCAAGGTCAGCTTACTGATAAATGTAATCTTTTATCCTTAATAATTCCTGTAGAAAAATCAACTCTATCAAAATAAAGTTGTGCAGTTTCAAAACTGGTATCTTCCACAACTTACACTAACTCTTGATAATCCAAACGTTTTCTTTAAACTAAAAAGCTTATGTTATGTACAACTTGTAGAAATTATGGTTTACTCAAATTTCCTCAAAACCAACAAGTTTGTGTCCTCTACAAATTACAGTAACTCTATTTAATTTAAAGTTTCTCAAATTCAAATAGATTACATCCTCTACAACTTGCAGAAACTCTGCTTTATGCGAGGTTTACCAAATTCATAAAACTTACGTTCTCTACAAGTTACAGTATCATCTCTTCAAATGAATAATGCCTTCGTTAAAATATGGTAATACTTCATTTATGAAATCACTTCGATTAATCAAATGGCCGTATTTCCTATTGGGAAATTATGAGACGAATATGAGTGTTAGTATGAGTATGTGAAGCTTTTTCATACGGATAGCCATGTTGAATTCTTTTTTCTCTTTGTCTTTCAAATGAATTATTGTGTACTCAAAACGTGAGTACACTCTAGAATCGGTCAGTGTGTCCGTCCGTCCGTAGGCACGATAATTTTCGAAATGAGAGTCAGATCGTGATGAAATCTTCCGCACAGTTCAATCTCATGAATATCTCGGTCGAGTTCGAAGATGAGAAGGATCCCTCAAGAAATGGCTGAGTTATCAAAAAAATTGTCATT